TGATACGAGAAAGAAAAAGAATAAAATAGAAAGAAAAAGAAAGAAGTAGAATGTTATCGAACTAGACACGTAATCCAGATATTATTATGAACAATCTTTTATCATTACTGTGTCTTCTATTCACGTGTTTTCATATGGAATAACTGACGATATTGAATCGGTGACAATATTATATTTACTAATTATTGAAATATTGTAAGACTATTTGTAAATCCAAAAGGTATTATATTAAATTTATATAAACTGTTATTAGTAATAAAGCAATCTTCTTTTGATCTTCTAATTTTATTTTTATATACCAGTATTCATAAGTAAGATTGAAAATAGAAAAGTATTGTTATCATTTTATATGATTTTAAGCTTTATTATATGAAAGAGCATAATAAAACATGTAAGATAAAATTAGATGGAAGAGTTTATATAAATAACTTTTAAAGTAGAAGAGTTTACTAAGTTATTTAAAGGTAAATAATATATATTTATTTGTTGATCAGCTAGAATAAGATTAGAAATATTCAAAGATAATTATATTACTTTAATAATTAATTTATAAACAAGTTAAGTATAATTTCTTTTATTAATTTAATTAAATACTTATTGATTTTATTAATATAAATAAGAGATCAATTATAAATATTATAAGAAGTATAACTTGTAATAGTAATGAGAGATTATAAATTAAATAATAACAATAACTTCACAATTAAGATGAGAGATTATAAAAATTAAGTAAAAAAGAAATATATAATAAAAGATGAGTTCAACTTAATTAATATAAAACTAATTAAAATTTTACTTAATTTTATATTAAAATACATGCTATATTTATAAATAAATTATAAAAACTAAATATTCAATAAAATTATAGATTAAATTGAAATTTGAATAGAAATTTAAACTGAAATTTGAATTAAAATTTGAATTGAATTTCAAATATTAATTATTAATATGATTGTTAATAATATTATTTTAAATAATAATATAATAATATATATAATTATATAAAATTAAATATGAAAAATATCAAATTATAATAGTATTTAATTTTTTTAAAAGTATCTAGTAAGTTATTAATTTATAATAATTAAAAGTTATTTATTATAGTAACTTTATTTAATTATTTATAATTAAATAATTATTAATAAAAAAGAAAAAAGAAAAATTTTGATTTTGTATTAATAATTAAATAATATTTTGTTTTAATATTTAATCAATTTCACTTGTTATAAATTTTTTTTCTAATTGTGATCTTTTATAATATGATTTTAATATAATTGATCAACTATTTTCAGTATTAATTTTATATTGAATAATATTAGTTCTACTAGGATTTAAAATATCTAATAATTAATTTAATTATTACTATTATTTTTCAGTTAGATCAATTTTTTTACTTGATATAGATTGAAAAAGAGATTTAAAAATTATTTTAAATTGTTAATATAATTCTTTTATTATTATAATTTAGATAGTTTTTCGGTATAAAGTATTTTAGCTTTGACTTCTATATTTTTTATTATTAAAAATAATCTGAATTTAAGTTAATAAAAGATTTTTTTTGGTATTTCTATTATAATTTGTATATTAATAAATATTGTTTAATATAGTAAAATATTAATTATTTTTTTAGGATATTTTATATCAAAATCAGTATTAGTTTTATGTGTTTTTTTTTTGATATTTTGTCTTTACTATTATTATTAAATATTTTAATTTCAATATTATTTTCTAAAATAACTAATTTATTTTGTTTATTTTTAATTTTTTAATATTATTATTATAAATATAAAACAGGTATATTTACTTTTTCACTTTGAAGTTTGAATATTAATATTTTTTTTTTTTAAACTAAAATATTAGTATTGTTATGAGTCCAATTATTTTCAAATAAAAAGTTATAATTATCTTTTTCAATTATAAATGCATTAATTTTGAAATTTTTATTATTCAAAGTAATTAATAAGTTAATTATTTCTTCAAGTAATTTTTTTTATTTTAACTAAATTAATATTACTGAATCTTTATATTTTTTAATTAAATTTCTTTAAAATTTTATTTGATATTATATTGTTTATAATTTCACTATCAATAATAATTATTGTATTATAATTTTTAATTTTTTCAATATAATATATTGTATTAATAAATTTTTGTTTTATTTTTTTTGTTACTAATCAATATTTATTTAAGTGTTTTAATTGAAGATTTTGATAAAGATAATGCATATTCATCTTTTTAAAATGTATTTAAGAGTTTAAATACTAATTGATACTAAGGTATATATTTTGTAAATTATATTTTTTCATATCAAAATCAAGTTTTTTAAACACAATTTATATGTTCTTCTTTTAATATTAAAATTATATTTCTTTTACAATACTAGTACTATATTTTTTTAAATATAATTTATATACTCTTCTTCTAATATCAAGATTTTTTTTAAAATACTAAAATTATATTACATTATTATTAATATAACATATTATATATTATTTAGTTACTTATTGATATATTAAGATAAAAAGATCAGTTAAATAAGTCTAATATTAAAAAGTTCAATATTTATTTATAATAATAATATCTAATAATGAAAAATAATTATTATGACATTTTTGATTGGTTCTTTATTAAATTAAATTTATATTTTGTATAAATTACTTTTATTAAGATTTAGTATGTGTTTTATTTTTCTTTTAATCAATTAATACATTAAATTTTTCTATAATCATCATTCTTGAAAAAGTAAAATTGGATAATTATAAAATGAATATGATTTTTTTATTATATTTACATAAATGGAAAGCAAAATAAAATGATTATAAAAAGATATAACTATAAATGGATGTGATTATAAAGAAAATAAAGAAATTTTAATTATATATAATTATGTTTCAATTTTTTGATAATATTTCAATATTATATTTTTTGTAATTAATTAATAAAATAATAATATTTTAATTATTTATAATATAGCAAATTAATTTTTATATTATAATAATTTGAACTGGCATTATAATAATTTAGTATTAGTATAGTGCTAATCTAAATTATAATAAATATTAACCAATAAAATCATGTTCATGTAATAAATTTGAATTAATTATATAAAAGTAATTAACTTTAAATATTTATAACTTTTTATAATTAGTAATTTAATAGAACTTATCTTAAAAAATAAAGTTACTTGTTTAATTTTCTAAATTCTATTTTTGTAAAAAATTTTAAAAATATATTATTTTTATTATAGAATTTAAATGTTTGTATTATATATCTTATATGTAAAATTGCTTTTCCGACATTTTTTATTAGTACTTCAAGCTATCTGTTTTTTATTTTCTTGTGTCAAAGACCACGTGATTCAGCACTGTCCATAGACTTCCCGAATATATAATTTTTAATATTTAGCGTAATATATACGTATATACTAAATTACAAAATTGGTATTTATTTCAATACTAGAATTTCATAATGTTGGCCAAATATTTAAATAATTTTTACGGGTCCCGCACCTGCTCCAAAATGGTTAATTAACCGTTATTTTAGATACCACAGGATAATATCTTATACAGGTTAAATTTTAGCTATTTAATTAATATCCATTCCTCTTTAATATAATTTTTATGTAACGATTGTTTAATTGCCATATGGGATTGACACCAGATGGATATTTATTCTCTGAATTTATGTACTAATCCAGTTACGCTTCTGAATTTTATGGTAATAGTAAAATTATAAAAATAGTAGAAAGTCACACACCTCTTGTCATCAAAAATACCCATTCTGATTTTTCCCCAAAACAATTGTCAACCCCAAATTTTGGATTTATTTGCCCCAAGTGCATTATAGAGTTTACTTGGTTAATATATTTCCGACCACAGTATCAATGTTTCTATGGACGTTTTCCTACATAAAAGCCTCTCGCTTTTTACATATTATTACATCCAGTCTCAACCGTATGGTCGATTGAACCTCGCTTTCTCTTGTAATTTGAATAACATCACATGAATCATGCCTCCGCATGAAGAAAATGTCGAAAATGAAGTGGTGTTAGTTAGCAACGCGAACAATTTAAAACTTTTTAACATGACAGATGTTCCAGATATAGATTCGTCTGAAAATAGCACCGGGCATACATCAAAGGGCGTTCCAAACAATGATAAAGAAGGGGTAAAAAAACCAGACACCTATAATGCGATATTAATGCATGCAATAACGGGTGGTCTAAGTAAGTTGAGGGTGCATTTTATTTGCTTGGCATCAGCATCAATTATAAATGATCGAATTTGTATTTCTTGTTTAGGAACTTATCTCTTGGCACATGGTGCACGTGGCGGGCTAAATTTCTTCTTGCAGTTGACAATGATGTTACGAAAAAGGTGAATTATTGCTAATCCAAGATGTTGCTGTCAACTTTGAAAGAATTTGGGTGATATTCGAGATTTTTTCTAAATTAATTCTATAAATATAATTAAAAGCAAGATAAGAATCGGACATGCATTTCGATACGGATTTTTTGGTAAAGACGCGTTGCGTTTTGGTTTAGCTTTTGGTGGATTTTCTTTTCTTTGGAAACTAATCAACAATGGGCTAAGACACGCTCGAGGAAAAGATGATAGGTGGAATGGGATGGTGGCTGGTATATTATAATACTTATTGTTCTTTTGAGTATATTATTTTGAATGATTTTTAATTAATGATTAATTAATTAATTATTTAATAGGATCAATCGCCGGACTGTCAATATTGGCAGAGAAACGTGAAAGACGCATATCAATTGCCCAACAATTATTCGTTCGGTTAGTTAGTTTTTGTATTTTTGATTGAATAAATTAGATCATCTAACCATATTAATTACGCGTTATAGTGCTATGCAAGGAGTATATAATGCTGGACGCGCTCGAGATTATTTTCATTTTCCACATGGAGATTCTCTGTTATTTGCTGTTTGCAGTGCACAACTGCTTTATGCATATACTGTAAGTTCTTTGCATAATGCACAGATAAAAAAGAAAAGCGTAATTTTGACTTAAAGTTTTCCACGATATTCAAATAGATCCAACCCGATACTATACCGCCAGAATTCTTGCAATTCATGGTAAAGACTGCGAGAGTTCCACGCGAAGTATTAGCTCTTAACAAAAAATATGTTACGACAAATATGCCAATAGATGTGGAAGAAGCATTGAATATACTTCGAAAATACAAGGGGACTGAGTATGCATTTAAGGTTGTTTCCAAAATGGGACAGCATCCAACTACCATACCCTGGTGAGTATATTATTTATTCCATCGAAACTAAAAGATTGATTAATTAATATAATTTTTATTGTTAGTGCATTGATACATTCATCTTCCGATTCGTGCATGTACGCAGACGTCGAAAGATTTTATAAAGTATTTAAAGATATACTACCGATTTACACAGCTTTAAATACAGTTTCGATGTTAGTCTTTAAAACGAAAGACTTTTTCCAAAAGTAATATCTTTAATTCCTCTATCGATTCCAAATTTTGATTTCAACTCTAATCAAAGTAATATTTCTCTATTGGTTAGTCCACTAGATCGAATACAGAAAAGCGTCTTTAATACTGTTAGATCTAGCGCATTTTTGTCCACTTTTGTTTCGGGTTATCTGACTGAAATATGTTTTCATCGAAATTTGGTCAACTATGGACTGACAGCCTGGGATCATAAATACCTGTATTGGATAACAGGTTTCATTACGAGTCTATCGATTTTCCTCGAAGATAAAAGACGACGAACTGATTTGGCTTTGTATGTGCTCCCGAAAGCTGCAGAGTCTTGGTACAAGATCATGTATCAACGAAATTGGATATTTGAATTGCATAAAAATGCTGATGTGTATTTCTTTTCGGCTGCAATGGGGATAGTAATGGTACTGATATGATTTTTAGTTTACTAAGATGCTAAAAGTGCTATTTAAATGATTTTTTAAATGATTTTTTTATTGTAGGCATTTTATCAACATGAACCCGAAGTGTTAAGTCCCATCGTGAGAACGGTGTTAAGGAAATTTGCAGGAAAAAATTAATATTGAGGTTAAGTCATTAAGTCAAGAGATAGCCATTTGGATATTTTGAACTACTACAGTCAAAGACGATCAATCATAAAATCACATGATTTTTGTGCAAAATTATTAATCAAAAAGGGTTGATGTATGAACATAAGAGTGAACATATGAAAAAAATGATTTATTACGAAAACTAAGAAAAAACTCGATATGTGAACCATTATTGATTTGTTCTGAACATGTTTAATAAAAGCTGATTTACGGCATTTAGGAATTATCGTTTTAAGAATTATCGTTCTAACCTTTGCCGAAAATCTTTGAATGATGATTACAATGCTATTATCATAATTTTTTCTTGGTTTTAATAAAGATCATGGGATTTATTTTTAATCTAATGATTTATCATTTTCTAAACACGTGATTAAACTTAGTCACTGGACCTATTTCGTGAATTTGCCTCGAAAATCTCACAACTTGTAAAATTATACTATAGAATTAAAATAATCGATATTATCTTAATAAAGTGCCGTAATAGGAATATGACTTGCACCAATAACGCGCGTGGAAAGTCTTTTAACGAAAACCATTGATAAGCTTTTGCCAATCATGATTAATAGTCGGAAAACTAATTTAAAATAAAATATACGTATATGTATATGTACATAAAAAATATTTAAAATTTAAAAAATAACAATTTTTTCTTAGAAATCGATTTAAAATGGCTTGAATTATAATTTGATTATAATAATGGAAAGTCGACTTAAGTTAAATATTATTTGAGGAGTTCAAATTTTAATATATTGATCAGTTCTTTATAAGTAATGTAACATTAATAAAACGCGGGCTTTTCTCTATAAAGTTTCAATTTATTAATAAATATTCATATTTTTTGGATTACACCGATACCAAAACGTTGAGCAATAGATCGAGAAGTTTCTCCAGTTGCAAGCCAACACAAAGTCGCCGCTAATTTTAAATGATTTAGTTGGATTCAAATTCGTATGATATTCTCAAGAGGAAGAAATGTTATGCGGACTTTAATGAATTATTAAAAATATTCCCGAGGAAAGAAGTGACAGTTTATTTTATACAATCAGTAGGTGATGAGTTGCGTAGTGTTGCATTCCCTTCGGTATTTAATTAGAAGAACGTATTTCGTGACGGATGAGGTGGGGGCACCAGACTGTTGCGTTTATCACAACAATCAATCGAGCAAGGGGTTTTCCGCAACGGGGGTGAGAGCTAAACTAAATTATTTACGGTCAAAGGGTTTCTTTGGGAGTTCTAAGGGTTTCCTGTGGCGACTTGTACGCAAATCGACCTTTTTAATATCAGGGGCGTTTCAAATGAAATAGTAAATAGAGTAATTTTGTAAAGAAAATCAATAATAAAATTCTATCTATCGTTATTTGTTGGCTATCAGAATAATCTCAAACACAACAGGACTTATTGGTACGGCCTGTACAAAGTAAACAAAATTAGTTCAACAAGACTTACTGATACGGCCTGTCTAAGAAAACAAAATCAATTCAACAGGACTTTTTGATACGGCCTGTCCAAAATAACAATTCAAAAGAAATCGACGGCTTATTTAGAGTGGAGGAGCATCCACTACTTACAATTTCTCGCAAGGTTTGAAGTTTGATCACAAAACAAAAGAAAATAATAGTGTATTTACGAGTAATATTACTACTACAAGCAAGAACTTTGTTATTTCATTCGATCAAAGCATGATCACAAGCATGTCTTTCTAAAGACTCGAGAACGCTTCTTTTGTACAGTTTTGAATTACTACGCTAATTCTACACTACTTCTAAGGTTGTATTTTACATTGATCGTTTCTCCTAAAATGTCTTTCAATTGTTCAGATAATTGTCGTCCTCTAAATAAACTATCGCTATCGTTATGTACATTAATATTGAGATGTTCGTGATACAAGAAAAAAAAAGTAAGGTTCATAAAATATTTCTCAATTTGGCTTACAATACGAATGACACAAGAAACTGTTTTTGGAAGGATTATCATGTGGGAAGATATTTATGTAGAATCTAAGAGTAAAAATTACGGGATTAAAGGATTTAATGTCACTACGGTAACACTCCGTAGGTGGTTACATTGAAAAATATTTTTACGCATTTGGCCATTAGTCTGCTCTACCTATGAAAATACCAACTTGTTTGCGGGAAATATGGATTTCCAAGTAATACTGATACTGATGACGTTTGGTTTGTATTATTATAGGCTGATGTACTTTTAACCGCCAAACAGTTCAATAACATTCAAATGATAGTAATTATATGAGAGTTATTAGAATAGATTCAGTTCAACACACACCATGAAAACAATACAGAAACGAAAGAAAATCTGCTAATGGTGTATCTTTCCTTCTTGCTTAATCAATTGATTATAGTTTGAAAGTTAGTTTATTTATCATATATAAATGGGTTTTTATCGCATTTATTTTCACTTTGTAAATAAAGTTTGTTTCACATGAAACAAAAAGCACATTTCAAGTTTTTCTTGTTGAATCCATGGCTCCTCTATAGCTTGATAGATGACAGAAAAAGTGGTGATATGTTTAAGGGAGAAGTTTTTAAAATGTGAAATCAAAAGTTTTATCTTTATAACTTTAATATATTGTCCTTTTGTTCACGTATTTTCTTCGAACTTAGAACAATGCAAGATAAAAAGCTAAGAATCTTTTCTCACATAGAAAGCTGCACGTATCAGCCTCGTCAATGACGAGCACGAGTTAATTGGTTAAAAGTCCAAATCGGGGTTATCAATTTTTTGGACAGTGAAAACATTTATCCAGAGTCTAAAATTACTACCCCGCTAAAATAGTTACGATGATTTTATTCTAAATAAGACTACGTTAAAGAACAATAACTATTAGTGATATCTGCTATGCCTATTTCTATGAAAAAGAATTCATTTGATAAACGGGAATATTTTTTCTATATCGATATACAATCAAACCTTATGTTTATAACAAAGATCAATTACGTAACTTGTGTTTAAACCAGTTTTTAATAAATCCTCTCAACTCGATATAGTAGATCTTTGAAATTTTCCTATAACGAGGTTTCAGTGTATACAATACATAATTCATTAGTGATCTAAATTTATTTTTAGCAGTTGATCGTCATATTGTTCAAAGCATTTGAGCGATGAAATTAAAAAATGTATTGTTTCATTTTCTCCTTTTCGAATATCATAAATTGTTTTCGTTACGTTCTTTTTCGCATACAGCCTATTTTAATAATTAATACACTCGATGGATAATAACATTACCAATACAAATAATAAACTGATAGAACTTTGCTCCTTCGAGCGAGAAGAAGGAACACAGCACGAACAAGAAGATACTTACTATGAGGAATACATGTCAGACTTTCTTGATAGTCGTCGAGAGTCACTGGCTGACTCTTCGAGTAACATGACCAATGACAGTTTAGTAATGGACTCGATAGAGAACTCACATAAAGCACCGTTATTGCCGCCAACGGTAGTACCTTCTTTACAGCTTCCACAGGCGCTTCATTCTCGACCTGCGCCAATAGTAGCTTCGACGGGGGGAGTTGACGAAAACTTTAATAGCAATAATGTAGTGATAAACAATAATAGTGGAATTCGTCATAGTGGTAATGGTGGAGCTGATATTCTGAAAAATATGAAGGCATATGTATTTCCACCTACGAGCAATCAAACACAACCGAGACAACGACGAAATACCACTGTCAATTCTACAAGTAGCCATAATTATAATGCAATATCAACTGCTACTCCATCTCATAATAGTACTCATTCTTCCATTACTCTAAAAAACAATAATTCCTTCTCTTCAAAAGATTCCGATCACCTTCCACCACAAAAGGATCAAATCGATGCACCACGTAAAACTAGCATATATACACCTGTTCATCATGCAAACATAGGTCAAACTACCACCTCAATTCTTCATATATTCCGATTCGCCACATTATTCGACTATGTGCTAATTATGTTCGCCACGTTTTTCAGCTTTTGCAACGGGGCAATAACTCCGTTAATGACTCAGTTATTAGGCGATTTATTTAATATTTTCACCGAACAATCAACGGGTATTATCACCCGAAGAACATTCGAGAAAAAGATTAATGAAGCGGTGTTGAAATTTATACTGTTAGGCATCGCGACTTTTATTTTGTCTGCTTTGATGACGTCGATGTGGATGTGGACTGGGGAACGTCAAACAAGGCGCATGCGTGAAATTTATTTTCAGTCGTTGTTGAGAATGGATTTGGGATATTTTGAACGAGAAGAGATTACTTCTGGAGGATTGTTGACCGGTCTTAATAAGTATATTTGGATTTTTTTATTATTTTTGGATTTTTGGATTTTTAAAAATCCGATTATTTAATCATTTAAATGCTTATATTAATGCAGAGATACAGACGATATTCAAAACGCAATATCTGAAAATCTTGGACTTGCTATTCAATATCTTACGACTTTCATGGGATGCATGGTGTTGGCGTTTTATAAGAATTACCTGCTTACTTTAGTAATCATCACCGCCGTTCCATTCTTATTATTCTCATTAAACTACACATCGCGAAAAGCCGCGCCATTAATCAAAGAAGAACGTGAAATTTTTTTAAAAGCCGGAAATATTCTCGAGTATTCTTTATCAGCTATTAAAACAGTTAAATCATTTAACGGAGAGGAAAAAGAAGAAAAAAGACATTTTGAATGTTTGAAAGAAGCAAATACCGTCTCCGCAAATCTCGCATGGATTTTTGCTCTACGAACGGGAATTATGCAGTTTCTTTTGTTATCGTTGTTTGTACAAGGGTTCTGGTATGGCGCGAATTTAGTGGCTAATAAAAAGTTGACACCAGGAGATGTGCTGAGTGTATTCTACGCGTGTCTCTTGGGAGCTAGCGCGTTGAAGAGCACCTTGCCCTTGTTGAATTTTATGGCTAGAGCGAAAAATGCAGTACATAAAATTAATGAACTTTTAACCAAGGTCGCGATATTGGATATAGAAGCTTTACGCGGGTTTAAAATGCCAAAATGTGAAGGAAATATCAAATTCGAACAAGTTAGCTTCGCGTATCCTAGTAGGCCGGACACATACGTGCTGCAAAATGTCAATATAAATATTCCAGCGGGACAGACAACAGTAATAATTGGTCAAAGTGGTTCAGGGAAATCCACGATAGCTCAACTTATTCAAAAGTTATATGAGGTTAAAGATGGTGTAGTGAAATTGGATAATCGTGAAATTCGTATATTGAACACTCAATGGTTACGTCAACAGATTGGAGTTGTAAGTCAGGAACCAATATTATTTGATGGCACTATATTTCAAAATGTTGCCTATGGCAAAGTAAGTTCACACATGCTATGTTCCTGTATCTGCATATATATACAATGTATGTCTTGCTAATAGAAAGAAATTTTATTTTCAGCCAGATTTTATGAAAGTAACACTCGAACAAGTGATTGAAGCATGCAAAATTGCATGCATACATGATGATATTGAAAAACTCGCTGATGGATATCATACTAAGTTAGGTGATAAAGGACAAAGTTTATCTGGTGGACAACGGCAACGAATAGCGATTGCAAGAGCATTAATTAAAGATCCTGCGATTCTCATACTTGGTGAGTTATTTTCATTAGATGTTCGTCATTTATAATAATTAATATTAATACTATATATTTAATAAAAAGATGAAGCGTCAAGTGCATTGGATTTAACATCTGATCGTGAAGTGCAAAAAGCATTAGACAATTGTCGTCACGGTAGAACAACGTTAGTCATTACACATCATTTAACCCATATCAAAGATACAGATCTTTTATATATACTGGATAAAGGTGTATTGGTGGAAAGTGGCTTGAAAAAAGATTTAATAAAGAATGAAGAAGGACATTTTTATAAGATAGCTCAAAAAGCGGAAATTCTACATTCAAAGCGAGCATCTTTTGATCTTCACTTTGATGGTAGCAGGTCAAGTATTCCGTCACCAAAGCTTCAATATGAAGAATGTGATTTATCAACCTCCGCAGGACTATTAAAAAGATCGTTGAGTATGGCAACTAGAGTGGGGTGGCGACAATCAGTTATTGAAGATTATATTGATGTTAAAGCACTGGAACTTTTAAATCAAAGTGCATCTGCTTCGATAAATAAACGTAATGACAATCGATTATCATATTTTGGAGTTCTAAGTTATTATGATAATAGCGAAGATTCAGAAAAACCCATTGACATTATGATATCAAATCAGATCAATTTAGTTCCCGAAGATAAAATAAAGATGAGCATATGGCAATTATTTCAAAGTACAATGGAGAATAAATTACTATATACTGTTGGATTATTTGCAGCAATTGTAAATGGATTTGTGATGCCCATATTTTCTTATGTAATGTCTAAATTATTGACCACTTACACTCTCACGGATAAAAACCAATTGCAATCCCAAGCACGAAATTGGGCAATAGTAGTATTAGTATTGGCAATTGGAAATGGGATTTCTGCACACTATAAATATTTCTTACTGGAACGTGCATCAGAACAGTGGGCGGTTCGTTTACGTCATCTCGGATTTTGTCGTATTCTTCGTCAATCTCAATCATTTTTTGATAAATCTGACAGCGCATCCGGAAAATTAACTACAATCTTAATTAGCGATACCGATACAGCTAAAAATCTCGTTGGACATTTCATGGGAAGTATGGTGTTTGTGATCATTTCCCTATTTGCCGGCTTGGTGTGGGGATTTATTACCGGTTGGGAATTGAGTCTTGTGGGATTTGGACTTGTGCCGATCATTCTATTGATTACTGAATTCCAAAGAAGAATTTTGCAAAAATTCGAAAGTGAAAGAAAAAAGTCCATCGAAGAAGCTTCTAATGCCTTTTATCAAGTGAGTTTTTTTTTGAATAAATCATAATAGTATCATAATGTTTGATTCTTAAGAATTAATCTTATATTTTAATTTAATTTAATTTAATTAATTTAATTTAATTTAATTTAATTTAATTTAATTTAATTTAATTTAGACAATATCATCTATTAGAGTCGTTTATTCTCTATCGATTGAGAGAATTAGATTGGAAGAATACAAAATGGCACTTCAGGTGCCATATGATATTGGAGTGAAAAAAGCTCTTGTTGTTGGATCATTTTCAGGTTTATTAGAGGCTGTTGGTTATTTTACCAAAGGTAAATAAATATATGTATGCTTGATGTTACATTATCTACATTCCTTAAGTTATTTATTTTAATTGACACACCGTGTTGAATATTTTAATTTCAGCACTTACCTTTTGGTACGGAGCTCATCTTATCGTCCAAGGTACTTATGACTTAAAAACAATGTTGACTGTTTGGACATTAGTTATTTTTTGCACAACATCCGCTGGTACTATCCTTACCACAAGTGAGTTATTCTCCGTGATTTTAATTTTTCATCTAAATCTTAGATATTTCAATTCCTGATTAATCGAATTCACTTATTTTACAATGAATAATAGTTCCGTATTATGAAAAGAGTAAACAAGCAGGAAAATCACTCTGTCAAATAATGAGTTTACCAAAACCTCAAACTGGTGGTAAAAAGCTCGATAAAGTCTATGGCAGCATCTCCTTTAAAAATATTTACTTTACTTATCCGGAGAGACCAAACAATTTGATTCTTAAAGGCTTAGACTTTAGTATTACAGCCGGTAAAACAATTGCATTGGTCGGCAAAAGGTTTGATTGATTCTATTTAATTTCTTTATTACGTGGTTTGAAGTTCTCTCTTATTTAGTATATATTCAATTTTTTTAGTGGGAATGGTAAATCTACAATTGCAGCTTTGTTACAACGGTTCTATGCTCCAACTAGTGGCACCATCATGTTTGACTATGAGAATCTTCACGAATTCGATCTTCATTGGTTACGTGGACAAATTGGCACCGTCAGTCAAGAACCAGTTCTATTTGACATGACAATAGCCGAAAACATTAAATACGGCAAAGACTCGGCGACACAAACAGAAATAGAATTGGTCGCGAAAAGAGTCAATCTTCACAATTTCATTATGGAATTAAGTCAAGGATACAACACGCCACTCGGTAGTAACGGTTCCAAATTATCGGGTGGTCAAAAACAACGTATAGCAATTGCTCGTGTTTTATTACGTGATCCGAAAATACTTATATTGGATGAAGCAACTAGTGCACTCGATAAAGACAACGAGTTGGAAGTTCTCCGGGTTTTGGATCAAGCCAAACAAGGTCGAACGACTTTAATGATTACACATCGATTGGATACGGCACGATTGTATGCCGATAAGATTGCGTATATGGATCAGGGAAAAATAGCAGAGTTAGGAACTCATGATGAGTTAATGGAGTTACGTGGCGGATATTGGAGTTTGGTGACTGAAAATAACGTGAAAAGTCGAAAGAAAAAAGAGGTTTAATGATAATTGGACCATTAATTTTTGAGATTTAGAACAATTCGTTTTTGTGACGAAGCACTTGGGGGGGGGTTCATGGACATTTTTTTAGTTTCTTCTATTCAGAAAAATAATTATTGTACAATATAATTTAGTTATAACAGTTTTAAGCTAATTATAATATTACACACAAATGATTTAAATTCATGTAACATAGTTTTTTTAATCATAAATAATAGAGTTCAATTATCCGAAATAATTGCAGAAACAAATACATATATATAAAAAATAAATAAATAAATAGGTTAATTAATAAATTAATGAATCATTCGTAAGTAGGTCTCGCCCATAATTTTATATGACCTTTCCGACAAGTAGTTACTATTGAATCTTCGCGGAATGTGATTGAACATAAAGGATCCGAATCGATAGATTTAAACTACGAAAGGATTCCAATAAACATAAAGAATTTTAAATTGCTAATTCAAATCGAAGCTAGCGACAAAGTATTTAGTGAGAAAAATTATAAAGCTTACTGACCATAACAGGCTGTAGAATAGCAACTTGTGATCTGGGCAAACATGGATGTATTGTATTTTTTTTTGGCTCAACGAGATTCCGTCGCAAAACTGCAGTTGTGGCTGCAGATTGTGATGCCAAACTCGATCGTCGATATGAATTCTGCTATGAATTTCAATTTCAAAAAAAAAAAACACTAAATTAGATGGTAATTTTCTCTACGTCTCAAAAATTAATAAGTATTCATCTTACATTTTTCGGTTTATGTAAAGCATTAACACTAAAATCCCATAATAATAATTTAGTATCTTCTGCAACCGAGCCGAAACGATAATTTTGTTCGTCACATCGCCACGGATCAAACGCTACCCCGGTCACCCAGGATTGATGACCCTGACACCGAGCAACTATCCGTAGGTCACGAAAAGACCATATTGTAACCAAGTCATCTTGTCCCCCGGTGAGAACATATTTTCCATCGGGACTCCAACATACACACGATAGCCCACCAAAGTAACTTGTATAAGTATCGTAAAGCCTAGATAAAAGTCATTGAAAAGGTATTATTTCAATGTATTTCGGATTATAAATATTATTATTTGGTTTTCTTCTTACCTTTCTTGAATAAAATCTACTATTTTTAGACATCCGTCAACAGAAACAATTGCCACATGCTGTAGATCGGGAGAAAACGCAAATGCTAAATTAAAATGGTTTTTAGTTCCTTGCATATATGCTGCATATATCCATCACAACTAAGTAATATTTGCCACTTTTTTTACCTGTGACAGTTTTTTTGGATATTTGCCAATGCGATACAGGATTATGTTTTGTGTTTTTCGATGGGTGTGTAACTCGAAATCTATTTCCATGCGTAAATCAAATAAAGAACAAATTTAATTAATTAATTCGATCTTTTCAATCTATGCACGATTTCTTAATATAATGAAGGCAAGCATCAATTTACTCACTAACCCGTCGTCATCCGGACCTACGCTCGGTGTAAAGTTTTGATCGTCTCTCTCTTTATCATAGCGAATAATTGATCCATCCTGGTATGATGCCATGAATAAATTCTCGGATCCTGGCATCCATTTTACCATGGTAACGGGTGAATTATTTATTATACCCTAATTCAGAAAAAATTAAGTATAAAATTTATCAAAGAAAAAAAATTCAAATATTCATGTCTCATTATGAGTTTTAATACCTGCCTGCTTATTAATTCGATAATATTTATTACAAATAGGATCGAACCAAATAACGTCTCCCGAAGAGAACCCAATTATTACATCTAAATGATCGCAAGACCTTGTAAGAGGATTTACATCATGACACACTGGGAAAGCCTTTGAGAAATTAACCCTCGTTAAAGGTTCCTGAATGTAATTATAAATTAGACTCATCAATTAATAACCAATAAAAATAAATTACTATAAGGTCAATAATCTCACCTGATCCCTACCTTTGGAATAGCTAAATCCATCCAACAAAAAGTACGTCCGATATTGAAAAACAAATATGTTTCTTCATTCTGCCGATTCGCCAAAATTTTCGTCAAATTTTCATGTGTGGTAATTTTCGCCACAAACGAAGAGTTAGTTTTCGTGATATTTAGTCTTTTCTTTTTCCCTTTTCCAGCATTGAAAAAACCAAATGGACCGTCATCCTCTCGTTTTCCCTCTATAGAAGTTGGCACTATTCCATTACCATTTAGCGGAGTTTTTAGACTCGGTGAAGTCTGTGTCGGTGAGCCTAGAACTGAAAGAGAACCATCGGGTGATAGCGGTTCTTTTGGTATAGTAGGTGAAGGTAGTGGTGGGTCTTGTGTTTGTTGGTATTGCGGCACTTGTAATTTCTCGTTATCAGTTGTGTCGTCTGCAGAGTCTTCAACTAGAGTATTTTCCAAGGAAGATAAGGAGGGAACATTAGGGATATTTTCGCCAACACGATCTATTGCAGAAACACTTTCGCCGCTCGAAGAGTTTTGATGTGAATTATATTCTTTGTATTTTACAGAGACTAAGGAAATCGACGTTCCGTTCACTAAACTAGGTTGAACACCTTCTAATAATATACTTTCTTTGAGATTATATTGTCCTTCTGCTGCTACAAAATCTCTGATTTCGGTTGTAACGTTTGCCATACTCGAATATACTGTTAGGATTTTTGTAGATGTTGTAGATGTCGATTTTATATCTGTAAACGTGTGTTACACAGTTCACTAGTTCTAACATGTAATGTAAGTGATCGATATAAATAAATTAATCGCGTAGACGCGTAAAATAAACAGGTTGAGAAATTATCAATAGATTACCGTGAAAATGTCCAAAATTGCCGCGAACAAAGAAAAAATTTCTCTTAAAGGCTCTGCAAAGCTGATAGTGGAATTTTTCGGTAAAATAAATTTATACATTTTCCACGGTAATTTTTGTCTCGAAGTACTCAATATTTTAATTTGTGATGACAATTACAATTGAATAGAATGCGGCATCAATAGGTAAACTCATCTTTTGCCTTGTTGTAATGTTTAGAGCAGAATATTAAGAAATGAAATCATTTTTTTAGTATATTCTATCAGAGAAACATATACCCACCCGAAGACTTCTCCATGACAAAAAAATATGGACTTAATTTCCTTATAACTAATGATCATCGAATTACGGTCTATTTGAAAAAAGTCCTTACCCAAATTGAATGTAAGGATAACAAGCATTTAAATGTCTGAATTGGAAATTGTATAATAACATTATTTTGTAATTTATTTTATTCTGATTAGCGTGGCTGCAGGAGGGTCAAATAAAAAAACTCGTTCTCGCAATTATCTCACAAGACACTCGGGAGACTTTAGAGCGATGGGAATTTGATGTGCACGTGGTAAAAAATGGTAAAGAGGATGTAATTGCAACAAAAGAAAAGACTGAAAAGGAGATCAAACAGGAGATTCAGGCGGTTATACGACAGATAGTCAGTAGTGTCACTTTTCTTCCAATCTATGATGAAGCTCGTATGTATTATTAATAATAATAATAATAATAATAATAATAATAATAATAATAATAATAATAATAATAATAATTTACTCGCATGAACTTTACAAATAGTTTGATTTTTTTATATTTCCTTTTTAATATGAATAATAGGTACATTCAATATTCTCGCGTATACTGATAAAGACGTGGAAGTTCCAAATGATTGGGGGGACTCACATCCTCATCTAATCAAGGAGGCGGAGTTGGTTAAACTGCTTTCCTTCTCGAGTGATTATCATAAGGTCGATTCTATGGTAGCGTATCGATTAAATAATGATTAGGATCAAAATTGTCTGTCACATCGAATAAAAAATAAATGGTTTAAGATTTATTAGAGTAGTATATATAGAATAATAAAGATGTACCAACTTCTTAACTTTATGATGAAAATAAACTCAAAAAATCAGTATAAGAGACGTGACAGATATTAACCGAGACAATATAAACCAGACCAAAGAAAGAACAAATCATAATAAGCGAACACGAAAAACAATTAATTTTCTTCTATTTCCTTCGCGCCCATTTTATCAATTTATTTCCGATATATCTTGAGCTATTGTAAAATCCTGCTGTTAGAACTCCTTTTGTGCTTTGCGTAAGAGCTGGCCAGAATACAATTTCGGTGATACCTATTGTTATTAATTGTACAATTATCATTAATTATACAATAACCGCGTTTGGGGATCTTCAACGATCGTATCTCACCTGAATTCAAGTATTTTATACAATCGGGGGAAGATGCAATGCTTTTACACGCACTAAAATCATCTAAGAAATATTTTTTTTATTTTTGTTTAATGCATTCATGAAAGAAATGAAAATCTGTCTCAAAATAATTTATTAAATCATACCCTGTGGAAGATGCTGTCCTATTCGTAATAGTTGATTTCGATGTTTCTCTTTGATTTTTCCTTTAAGTGTTCTCGGCAAGTTCTGTACTAATCTAGCACGAATTTTTGGATCATCATTTTGCTAAAATTCCCCAAAGTATATAATATATAATATCAGCTTCAATCGATATATCTAGTATATCTATAGAATCGCTAAAATGCCTCTTCTAACCTGAAATAAATCATTTCCTATATGTTCCACATTCGGAAACTGTGTCACAATTCCTCCATACAACAAACTGAAATTATCCATCTGTCGCAAAACTATGTTATGTACCTTTTTCGGGTTTTCGCCCACATATCTACGAAAATCACCTGCGTTTTGTTCAGTTAATATTAAAGAACCGAATAAAAGAATCAAACATACTGAGCAACTATTTTATACCTTGATAAGACAATTCGGCGATTTTTATATATAATTCCTCCGCAGTGAAATTTTTCGGTAAAAGCAACAAAGCTGTCCTGAACGCACTTACTAAATTAACTTGATTAGCTAATCGTACGCGAGCATTATCTTTAAGAATCTTTATCTGCGGAAATAAATTAAAAACTAAGTAACTTCCGAATTCTATCAAAATGTTTTAAATTCTACACAGTAAAAATTTAATAACCTAACAACAAATAATCTACCGGCTTGTGCATTCTTCCCGATACATAAAGCGTATCCCAATCCAACAGATCTTTGCACAAGGTATCAATCGATACGACCCCATATTTGATCAACTAATACGCGCGAGAAGTATAATTGAGAGGGAAAATAATACTTTTAATAAAGCCCACTAATACAGTTCCATTATTACCATGCCATCAATTTCCACATACGGATTAAAGTATACACCGGCATCAATTTTCTCTTGTAGCATTGCCACCGCGCGACTACCAAACATCCCGACAAAGGAATAATGATTTCGATGTTGACTGAGGTTGAGTGAATGCCAGTGTTGTGGGTGGCGAACACCAAAGATAAAATCTATCAATGGTTTCTTTTAATATTATATGTATGCAGAATTTGATTAACTTTGCTTTTGTACTAATTGTCATATATGCCAGCCAAAAATAAAAGAATATATTTGCCTTTGCATTTTCATATCCTTTTTGCGGAAATACGCCACTCCCGTATGCAAAAGCATATCGTATTGGTGCTTGGAAATGTGAAAGCAACTTTTTTAGGCTTTCTTTCTTCTCGTCGTCAATAGGTATATGCTGGTTTTTGCCAAAATTATAAGGTAACAAGATCGTGGTAACCATTGTTTGAATGCGACTCTTCAAAGAAGGATGTAGTCCAAATTTTCCGGGTCCGATAAACCCGATCCCTGACGATCGGTACTATTTTTTCCTGTGGCTAATATATCATGTGGTTTGTTCTCATGATCGATTAATAACCAAGAACAAAAAATTCGAAACGTGACTTAATGTGGCTTATGTATCACACTTTTCTCGAACCAAATTTCAAATTTCCTAATTTGGGGATGCGTTAAAGCGTGGTATCCATGTGATCTGATACGGGATAATGTGGCTGATATTCATTTCGGAAAGCGATTCGCCACTGTAGTCGGAGATCAATTTTCTGAGTGTGTAATGTGCTCTATGATAAATATCAAAACAACCTTTTTGCTTTACACTGACTCGTGCGTACCTACAAAATTACAGTCAAATCCCTCTATAGTCACATCTATTTATAGTCACATCCCTTTATAATCACTCTATTTTGCTTTTCCATTTACATATAAACATAGTAAAAAAAATTCCTCTATAGTCACATTCCCTCTATAGTCACCAAATTTTGCTTTCCCGAGGATGATGACTATAGAGGGGTTTGATTGTACTTGCAATGTTTTAAAAGAGCTATTTTTTGTAATACTGCTAATAGCATGTTCTTGATAATCAGAATTTCAATGTAAAAAGTGTAATATGTTAAGCAAAGTATTTTTTTTAATGTTTTAATGTTGTTGTGATTAGATATTTTCATAATCACAAATAATTATCTCACATAATCACTTTACATGATCACTTCAAATGATCATTCCAAATGATCATTCCAACTGATCATCTCAAGCGCTCCGAATGATCATTGTAAATGATTATTCCAAACGATCATTTCAAACGCTCTGAATAATCATTCCAAATGATCATTCCAAACAATTATTTCAAACGCTCTGAATTAAAGATGATCTCCTAAATTATTTTTGGAAAAAATGGTATTTCGGCAAATAATTCGGTTTTGCTATGTTGCTTATAT